ATTGGTTTGACTGATAAGATTATAAACCACAACCTCAAGTTTTCATTGAGCTGAAATTCAGATGAATAAAAAAATTGGATGAAAATTCAACCACGTTTCAATCAAGATGTCATTAGGACATCAACTGAATGACTTCAACTCCAAGCATAAGACACTGAATCATTAAGACATCACGTCAAAGAGAAGTAAAGACAAAGCAAAGGATTTCTAGCCTTCCACTGGCATTTAAAATATGCTTGAGTTTTTCAGTCAAAACCATCAAAACAAAAACTATAGCCTGAGCACTCAGAAAGTCAGAGCACTGAGCCCTTTGAGACCTACGGATGGAGATTTGATTAAAGAGAGAGAGGAAATGATAAGGAAATACCAGCTGAACTCTGGGATGCCAAGCTTGGACAATCTTCAAGAAAGGAGACAAGTTCAACTGTGGAAATTAAATAGTCATCGCCTTGCTGTCCATCACAGGAAAGATTATTGTGAGAACCCTCAAGAACTGTCAACTTACACTTGTTGAGGAGATTCTCAGAGGATATACTGTAAATGTTATTGTTTTTTTATGTGGTATGTCTTCTTAGTTGTCAAGGAATTAAAAAAAAAATATTTCCTACTTATTCCTTACTTCTACCTCCTTAAAATGAAACTGAACAAATCTGACCCATCCGAACACAGTTAATGGAGCAACAGATGCTGCTTCTTAAAACAAAGAGACAGTGATTGACAGTTTATCATTTGATGAAAGAGGATTCACACTTTTAAACATAAAAGCTGGTTAAGGTGTAAGATCTCTCCAATTACAAGAGCATCGTCTTGTGTGGATCTTTCAGAGGGATCTGACCAAAATAATCCAGTCAGACTCTGGAAAATAACATTTCTTGTATGGTTCCTAGCTCTGAAATATCTGGTCTAGGACGTGGGGTGGGCACCATCTATGACATCTGCTTTTCCAGAGGCTTGGACAAGGACTGCGTTTTGATTTTTAAATTTCGCCGCTAAATTGCTTTTTCGGAAGTGAAGAGAAGGGTGGCTAATGTCCAACTCTTCCTGTTGAACCTCACAGTGCACTCAATCCTAAATGGTGGTGGACAGGGTTTTCTTCAGTACAGGAGTTCATTAGAACTGAAGGACTCCATCTTATGGAACACCGCTATTTTTCAAGGACACTATTATTCCCTGTGGCATTCACTAGTTATAATATATAAGTTCACTTTCTTTATTAGTCCATACTTTAAGTTCCATATGGTGGTGTTATTTGAGTTATTTTTCTGAGTATAATTTGAAAACTAATATTTCAGGTAAAAGATGTTTTCTATTGCAGTTTATGTCCCATCGACATTAAAACTAAACTTAATTTGATCTCCTGATCAAATCCCTGCTGGTAATAACTGAATTTGTTGGGATACTGGGTGCAGTTCCCAATGAACTCATGAATCATATACTTGAGAAATCGAAGCTGTATGTCTGATCTAGGTGGAAGATATCTGGT